CTGTAGTTCTTCAGTTAGTATAGGAAGGATGACAAAATACTTAATATGGAATTAGCTTCTTCTCATTATTTAAATAAAAATGTCTAGTAAAACTTCTGTATTTATTCAACACAGAAAACACAAGCATTAGGAGTTTACCTTTAGAGCAAATCCCAAGGGAAGGAAGAACAACTCTTTCTGAAAAATGAAGTTCACCATGACACAACCATTTTCCAAGTAGTGAAGGTTCATATTTATTGCAGTGTGCTCATCCTTAACGCAGTGCATCACTACTCCTGCAAAAATTATCACAAGCAAAGACCAACACAAGCTGTACAAACACAACCAGCTGCATTGCTGTGATGTGCCCGAACCACTGTGAAACAATTAATGAGAGAAACTTTGGTATTTCATGGCTGGGAACAGGAGGCAGATCGCTAGTTTCAGCATCCACCTGCCATTTCAAATAAATACACCAGCTCAATTGTTTTTACTGGACAAATGTCTCAGGAGTGCCAGCAAACTTGCTGAGAGGCTTGGAAGATGCATACTGTTAAGTCCCAAGCCTCAACTATTCTGTCTGTAACCTTAGGTTGTAAGATACAGCAACACAGAAATACTCTTCCTAACTGCACTCTGGGTCAAGTTTTCACAGTTCTGTGTTCATGGGGTACTGCTGAAGCAGTGTTTCCTGGTCCTGTTTCATGATATGTGCTTCAGAACAAAGAAAAATAAAACAAATGGGACCATTTAAACTGGCACTGCCTCAAAATTAATTTCTGTGGAATTACTCTGTGTGCTCAAGCACCAGAGTCCAGTTAAATCAGCAGCTGGTAACAACTGAAATAAAACTGTAACTTCTGGTTTAATTGAATTTTAAACTCATTTTACTGAGTATACATGACAAAGGTTCAAACAAGTTCAGCAGTCTACACTGACTTCTACTGAAAGTAGGGTTTTAGTTACACCTTCCATATACCAAATGTTACATATACTGCAAGGCCTGGAATATAATCTCCTCGCTCAGCATGGGCAGCTAAGACAGCTCCCACAAGGCCAACATCTGTTTCATGCATGTACTGTTATGGTGGTGCTGACCCTTTATTTTCACATGTAGTAAAAATTACAAACATTACACAAGAGCTACACCACAACAAACTACAGAAAGTCAGCTATAGATGGTCAGCTACAGGAAACTCTTCATCTTACCGTACTCTGTGAAACCAGGGCCTCTATTTTTCCATTTGTGTCTTGTCATTGCAAGAGGGAAATTTCTCCTGGGCATAATCAGCATCCTAATAACTTTTTCTAAGCCATTAATTATAAAGTAGCCTCCCATTTCCTGGCAGAAGAAAAATAATTTTAATGTGCTTAGAAATTAATAACCCAGCATTTTATGTAAAAGACAAAAATGCCCGTATTATATGTTAACAAACATTTGATATTTTAACTATAAAACATATAGCAAGACAGATGTTTCAGCACTGCATTTGGAAAGGCTGCACTCTTCGCCAGTGACTATTAAGTCTAAACGCAGCATACAGTGCAAGGAAAGGGATGCATATTCCACAATTTAAAGGAAGAAAGGAAAAAAAACCACCACAAAATCCATGTGGTCAACTGAATGGCTTTGAAGAGTCGACACTAACTATTTTTTCAATAAATACACTGAGTTCTCATTTTGAGTTTATAAACTAGAGGGATCTTCAGTGCAGAAAAACTCTTGCTAGTCACATACAAGCTTAACACTGATAAATGTATAGCTCCATAAACGTAAGCCATTAGTGTTGCCAAAAAGTGTTTCAGTAGCAAGTAATACCACAAATGAAGGTACAAGCAGCACACTAGGAGGGCAGCAACTGCACACCATTGTAGATTTTCTTTCACAGTTTGCTCACTCTTTTTGTGAGCATAAAATACGGCACTAAACAATCCTGTATTTGATGCCCCACACCTGACATGCTACTGGGGAGATGAGGAAAAAGTTGCAGAAGACAGCTGAGAATTAAAATGTCTCTTTTGATGCCTGTTCTGCAAATCTTTGTCTCCACAGAGGCCCACTCACAACTACATAGCCTCAGTTGCCAGTTAAGTAATTGTATACTGGAACTGCACCAAACAGACCCCTGTATTCAAAAACAGTTGTGACTGCAAATTTTCCAAGATGCTGTATGGAACCTGTAAATAGGGTACATTCACAGAAAATAAGTCGTCAAACTTGAAATACAATATAAACACTTGAGTTCTTTCAAGAGAAGCTGGTCTGAGATACCGCTCATGTAAAACACAGATTTTCCTGACCCACAAAATCCCTGTTACCTCTTCCTCCTCATGGTGCTGGATGAGCTCTTGTGGAGAAAGATTATAGAGGTTGCACAACTTGGACTTCACCATGATTGGAATATACCCCAGGGGCTGTTTAATAGTCCCTTGTGGCATGCCATTCACTGACCAGCTGATGTCAGCCTAAAATGACACAACGCAAACAGTGAGCAAATTAAGTTGCCCTTTTAATCTTTCCTGCTATATTAGCTGTACATTTAATATAACCGCAATCTGTTTAACAAAGTTCAAAACTGGAAAATGGTAATAATGATAATAAAAAGTAGAATTAGTAGATACATGCTAAAGATTATGCTCTGAAAAACAGTCAACAAAGAAAATCGTATCAGACTAGAACTAGGCCAAGAGGCTGCTAGGAAAAGTGAACAAAGTTGGTACAGTCTGGTTTGCCTTTCAGACCCTTTGAGAAAGCAGCCTAAATAGAAAAACCTCAGAAGTTAACAGTTACAAAAAAAGGAGAAGAAAACAAAAAATGCTCTATGAAAGGACATCCACACTACAAGCCTGCAGAGACCTTTCTTAAGACTTGCACACTTCTGTTCACAAGCAATCTGAACAGTGAGAAAGAAAAGCGTGTGTGAAAGAAAGTAACTTATTCACAGTAACAAGACCTGGCAGCGGGTCTGCAGAAGGACCCCTTGACTGTATGAAACAAGGCGATAAAATGCACGGTAGGAGCAAACAGTCCTAACTTTATAGACAGGCTTTGAAAGAGCTGCTGCCATGCAGGAAAGAAACAACAACACTGCAATACAAAAACACTGGTTCAACACGGGGTAACAGTCAAAAGAGTAAATCGAGTCTTAGGAATTACTAGGAAAGGGAAGGGAAATGTTACTGCACCCCTCTAAATCCACAGTGCAGCCTTAGACTGAGACCTCTGCACAGTTCTGGTCTCCAGCTTAAGTTATGACTAAAGGTATAAAGTGGATCCTGTATGAGCAGTCGCTGAGCAGACAGGGGCTCACTCCTCACCTTGGGAAAGCGAGAACATCAGGAAGAAGCTGAGGGAAGGCTATGTGGTTCCACCAGCACAGTGGAGACAGGGAATGACTACACACTGCTGTGCAAGGGCAGGGAGAGACCAAGCTGTCCTGGCACAAAGCAATACCTTCTCACCCAAGGCACAGCAAAATGTTTTGTTCCAACTATTCCAAATATTTACATGGGTTCAAAAAATAATGAAGCAAACACTGGAAAAAAGATGGGAAGCAACTAAGGTATGAAAAATAAAAGCATCTCTAGCTCAGGAAAATCAGAGCCTCTAGGAAAATGGCTTTGAACAATCTGTGATTGCACCACTTTCATGTTCAGGTAAGATACCGCACTTACAGTTGTTTTTATCACTGTTAGTTGTAATGCTTTGGACAAAGAAAAAAGAAAAGCTGAAATTACGAGCAAGCATCCCCTCACACAAATGTACAGCTCTGACACAAACAATTTTAACAGAGAACAGCAACCGCTGTGCAATCCTTTCACGGTACAAAGGAAAATTGTTCGCTGAGGATTCTTCTCTAGGCAAATTTCAGAGTAATTCTGAAAAATGATGAACATATGATGTGATCAAGAGGGATTTATAACTCTGGGCGACTACACGGAAACAACACTGCTTTTGAGACCTGGATTCCTGCAGAAACCAGATTTGATTGTCGTGCTCTCTGGGACGACACAGGTCTCCTTCCAAAGCCTTCTGAAGTGGCTGGCTGGCTGACTGCGAGGCCAATTTGACAGCAGAGTACAGCACACAGCTGGGATCCCGTGAAAAAGGCGGGCCGGGGAGAGGGGGCCTGTTACCAGCCGGGTTTGACGGAGAGTTTGCGCAGGGAGTTCATACTTCACCAAGCACCCGAGCCTCCACGCGGGATAGAGCTCTTAGGAAATCCCCCCCGAGGGGGGGTGGAACCGGGAAGGGGTCTTTCACTGAAGCGGACAGAAACGCGCGAAGGGCACGGGAGCGGCGGCCCGGCGCTACGCCGCGCGACAAGGACACGCGTGCCGGGCGGGCAGGACGGACACTTACGGCGATCCTGCCGCGGTAGGTGCTGCGGAGGCCGCGGCACTCGGCGGGGAACACCCTCCTCTCCTGGCAGACCGCTCCCAGCGGCAGGGCAGGGGGCGCGATGGACACCCCCGCCACCGTCAGC